TCCCTCTGTTCTAGATAAAAGCTGAGTGGCTAGGTTAGAGCGGTACAGAAGGATGCTCCCAGGAGTCCAGGAGCTGTGAAAATCCAGACAGATTGTTCAATATATGTGGGAAGGAAGGTCCAGCATTGGTCTCAGACATGCCCCAATGCTGTCAGTACACAGCTTTGCGATTTAAAGAGTGATATGCTCATTTCGACTTCACCAATCACTTCCCTCATCCTCCGTTGCTAATATAAGGATTATGAAAATGCTAGAGTCTGGATTCAGTGGCATTCTAATTTCACTCTTTGTTTTTAAATGAAGACTTCATGTGATTTTCTTTTTTTTTTTTTTTTTAAATCAGCCATCTTTGAGAAATCCTCTTGGTTGATAGCCTCAAAACCTTATCTAGATAATCTGCTCAGCAAAGATTAAGTGGGTCATTAGGATTTCCTTTTGCATAGGAAAAATTTAAAAAGGACATGCTTATTTTTCATTGAAATTTTACAGTTTGAAATCGTGTTGAATTTAACTTACTGCTCTGTACCAGTCATTATTTATTATGCTTTACCTTTCATTCTTAATTTTACTGTTCTGCTATTTCAGTTACTACCTTTATATGTGTGATAAAGTGGTTGCCCCAAACGTATCTCTTGCATCACAATATAAGGATGTTGCAAAATCAACAGTCAAAGCTTCAGAAGTAATTAAATCATCACCTGGACAGTCAGAGAAGAAGCTCAGTAGCGGAAATCACAAAAAAGCTGCCTCCTATCCAGAGCTTTCTCTTGAAGAGCAGGAAAAAATTGACTTGAAAACTGGCATGGAGCAGCATAAACATTTAGGTGAGAGGTGAAAATTATGTTGAAGTCTTTTCACTGTTTATACCATATAATTTTTGAAAGCTCAGTGCCAACCTAGTATTTTGTGATGTCACTTCAGTTTTCCAAAAATTCTTTTGATGTTTTTATAATCTTCGATATTCTTTGCGTTTTTTTCATTCTGAAAGTTTACTTTTCTGTGATTATTATGCTGTGTTCCTCGTTTCTCTATAGATTCACCTGTACCAACTCGTTCTGCAAGAGGTGGGAAATCTGAACGTATTTCTTCCAAACTCACTAGAGACTCTAGCCGTGTTGAAGTAGGTAACGATGTGCGAACCTTGTCCCCCACTCTCATGAAAGACATCAGTTGTGAAGATGACAAGGGAAGGATCATGGAAGAAGTAATGAAAACCTATATCAAACAGCAAGAAAAACTAAACACCATTTTACGGAGGAAACAGCAGCTTCAAATGGTACAGTGCCAATCTGAGTGCTTTTCACTTTTGTCACCAGAAAACTGAAATTAACTTGTTGGTTCTAGAATCAATGTCACGGATTACATTCATTTAGAAACACCAAAACACGCAGATAAGTTTCCCCCAGCTTGAATCCAGACACCAAATCCTTAATATCCCTTATGCTCATTAGGTTTGAATCCACTAATAGTTGGTGTCTTTTCAGTTTGCAGCTACTGTGTTCAAGCAGCTCCTTCATCTGTTTTATCCAAATGAAAACTACTTTCACTTCAAAATGTTTTCCAAACATTTAAGTTATTTTGGCAAATACAGTTTAAATCCTCGAAAACTTCTCAGTTTTCAGGATTTTAAAGATGTGGACATCAGTATTCTAGAAATGGTCTTATCACTGCCCTGTATTAAAAAGAAACAAACCACCTTCCTATTTCTATTTGATAAGCTCTTGGTTTTAGGGGGATTTTATTAGTCTTTTAATAATGGATGACATTAGAAGCTAGTGTTCACTTGTGATTTTGCCTCATTTCTGTTTTCTGCATTAAGATAAATACTGTCTTTGCTTCTTACATTCATAGACCAGACCTAATTTTTTATTTCATTTTATTTAACATTAAGCTCAAAATCTATGAGCTCAGATAGGGCCCTAGAGCTGCTACTTTTAACTTGTTCTGCTGTTGGAGGTAAAGCTTGTAGATAAGTTAAAAAAAATTAAGACTTTAAAAAATATCAAAATGCTAGTGGAAAAAGAAATCAAACAAATTTATTCTGTTTTCTGATAATGCACTTCTTTCATCTTCAAAGCATATTTTAGTAAATCAGTGCTGCTGCTTTCTGAGGTTCACTGCTGGAAGTTGTGAATCTTGTTTCTGGAAGCTCTGTGTACTTGAAAGTATAAATAATTTCTTTATATTGAAATGCTTGCTACAGAATTCCAGGCTACTACTGTTAAGTAGACAAGTACTACAAAATCAGGCCATTGTTGTTGGTAGATAAATGTGCTCTTTTTGGCCTCATTGTTTCCAGATACACATTTAAATTCAGTTTTTTGCTTTTCTGGTCTTAGAATTGAGGTGTATGTGGTGGTGATGATTTTTCTTGACAGGAAGTGGAAATGTTAAGCAACTCTAAAGCTATGAAAGAATTAACTGAAGAGCAGCAGAATTTACAAAAAGAACTTGAATGTTTGCAAACAGAGCATGCTCAAAGAATGGAAGAATTTTATTTTGAGCAGAGAGACTTGGAGAAGAAACTGGACCAAGTGATGAAGCAAAAGTGTAGCTGTGACTCCAATTTAGAAAAAGACAAAGAAGCTGAATATGCAGCACAGGTGAGAAGGGAAAGTTTTTTTCAAACCAAACTGTATTTAGTGTATCAGAAAATTGAGAAGCTATTGCTCAGCCACCTTAAGGTTTCATGTTCTCCATGCGTTCTGATTCCATAGACTAATAGGTCATGGTGACAGCAGTATTTATTTGCCTGATTTATTTGATGGAAACTGAGGTAGAATGCAGCTTGGAGAAACACTTCACCTGTCAAGTGTTACAGGATTTTCTTTTCAGATATTTTCATGATGTTCCTGATGAAATATTAATCTTAAACATAAAGTCTGTTCCACTGTCATTTAAAACAAATCATGTTTTTCGTGTATATAAACCTGCCCATGTTATAGTATTAAACATTCTCATTTTAGTTTTAGAAATAAGCTATTAATCTTTTTCTTCCTTTTATGTTAAAAAAAAAATAAATCGAACCTCTCAGCCACCTTTTTGTCAGGTTAGTAGCCTACCTTGCTGCTTTTTCTGTTCCTTGGTGGTAGAATCTTCTGCACTATCTGATGAGCCTCCCTCTGTGCTCTATCAAAGCATTTAGTCAAGAGTTCCCTTGGAAGTGAAAATCATATTTTTGTCTTCCATTGCTGCCTCTTGGGTTCATATGTTGAACCGTATGGAGAAACTTTTTCTTTCTTTTTAACTTTTACTATTGTTTTCCTTCATGCTGGAAGCCCTTTGTGTCATTTCAATGGGAAAAATCAAGTTAATGCCAAGGGAGCCTTGGAATGCCCCTTTCAAAATCAATTGCAGTTATGATTAAATGTATATTGATGTATTTTGTACTGTGTGACAGAAAACTAGTCTTCACAGGTTTTTTTTTTAAAGTAAACGAAATCGGAAACTTAAGCTCAGTAAAGCTTTGTGGTCATTTGATCACAACTGTCTGTATTTCCTGTTCTTAGTGTCTCAAACTAAGAAACAGGCAGTACTTGAGAGACAGGTTTTGGTATTTTTGGGGAGTAGGGCAGAGACTAGCATCATAAATCCTTCTCATGAATTTAATTTCATGACATCCCACTCCACAGTTTCCTAGCCTTTGCTGCCAGAAATAATCCTCTCTGACTAAGTCCTGATTTACTAAACATCTGGTACAAGCCCTATTACTGCAAGTAACAACATGTTCTAATTTATGAAGATAATCACGTATAGCACGTTTTATAGGGCTTGTGTAGCTTACTTTCTTTAGAGGGTAAAAACCATAGATTGTTCCCCAAGGAGATTGGCTGGTTGTTTCTTTTGAAGTTAGACTTTGAAAACTAAATACGTTCCTTGCATGGAAGTTTACTCTGTCATTACCTGTGTGGTAGAGCTATTCACAACATATAATTTGAACCTTTTTCTCCATTTATCACATCTTACAATGGATTTTGGACCCTAGGTTCCAAGCATTTGTCAGAAGTACCCGAGTTAAACAGAGGTCTTGGCAAAAGGTGACTTCCCCGAGCTATGTATACAGAGTTTAAGAAAAGCCTTATTCCAATGTTTTCTTGAAGCAGTTGCCAGGCTGCCCTTTCTCTCTGGGAACCGTGGACTGGGAGGAACCCTCTTTGTACATTAAACAAAATTAATAATTTGGGCTTTGGAACTTGTTTAAATGTCTGTTCTTCTTTCTAGGCCTGTCTGAAGATGCACTAAGTGTCTTCTCCTGCTTTTTGACTTCTTTATTGAATTGTCTAGTTTAGTTGTTACTCTACCCTGTCAGTCACAGTAGGGCAGTATAACCAGTACTGGAACCTTTCCTTAGAGCTGGAAATCAAAACTCAACCAGAGACGTGTTTGTGTAGTGCGTGCTGTAACATGCATGCAGTGGGCATTTTCGTACTGCAACAGTTCACTTAATCCTAGTAGTGGAGTCGGAAGACTTGCATTAATTTGCAAGCAAAATATTGCTGTCTAAGAAATGCTTAAATATTTCTGATTATGCTAAGAACTGTTTAAATATTTCCATGTATACCAGTGGAGATGAAGATCCACTGAATGTGGTGTTTCTCTAAAATCAGCACAGCAGTTTCTTTGCCCACTACATTTTATAGCAGTTGGTGAACACCAGTGATCCTGTATATTCCTGCTTCGTTCATGCTTTTCTTCTTTTCATTCTTCCTCATTTTCAGTGAGACGTATGCTTAGTGATGATTTAGATTGGATAGATACCTGTCATTATAAAGGCAGATGGATTTTTTTAGATTGTGAGGTCTTTTTGAAAGAAATAACTCCTTAAGTCAATGGCAGAGAAGATAACCGATTTTCAGTCTCCTTCCTGTTTTAACTGCTGGTAGTATACATATAAGCAATTTGATAATAACCTTCCTACACTTGAAAAAAATTGTCAGATGTTTCCAGATCTCACAGTAAATAAGTTTTGATGACACTCTAGCAAGTTTGAGTTTTACTGTACTCCAAAGATGAGAAGTTTATTTAATTTCTGTGTTTAAACACAAAATAAATCACAAAAATTTTCAGGTGGACTCATGTTTGTATTTGAACACACACATAAATGCACAGGCAGTTATGGTCAAGATTTTCCGAATCTCATTTCTGGTAATTCTATTTCATTTATATTAAAGGGTATCAGAAAACAGTGTTGGTGGTTTTGATTGTTCTAGAAATGCATTCAGGCTTTGAAATAAAGAAGTAACATTTTGTCAGGTAAGAGGAATGAATGTGGGAAATGAAAAAGTGCTATTTATTCTGGGATTTGTGAAACCTGTGATCACAACCTTCCTAACAGATTATATGTATGATTGAAATGGTCTAGTGTGACAGTTCATATAATTACAATTTATATGTATTTAAAATTTAGACTTTCCCATTTTTTTATTATAGCATGATGCTTATGCAGCTTTGCATATTGATGTCATTTGCTAATTGTGTAGAGGGTAACTGCATAATTCTTGATAACTGCAGAAGCTGAGCTGATAAATACTGGTGAACCAAAGTATTTTTCTCTGATGCATAGGGTGGTCATCACTGGCATCTTGAAATGAATAGTTGACATTTACAAATAAGTTTGCTAAAATTTGCTCTCCATTTTACAGCTGGCAGAATTGAGACAGAGATTGGATCATGCAGAGGCAGATAGACAAGAGCTTCAAGATGAACTGAGACAAGAACGAGAGGCAAGGGAAAAGTTAGAGATGATGATAAAGGAATTGAAGCTACAGATCTTGAAATCTTCAAAAAATGGAAAAGGAAAATAGAAATTGGAAGAGGAAGCATGACTGCGTCCTTCAAACAGGGTGTTCTGGTTTTTAATGAATTATGAGCAGTTTCTGTGTGATAAGAAAAAGTATTCTCTACAGATTTCTATTTCCCAGACAAGTGCAGATGAAGATATACATATATATAAATAAATAGATAGGGATACATTTTTAGATTTTCCTAACCAATGAAAATCTGCGTTTATTTCTACTGATGTTTTTCTCAAACGATGAAAAGTACGAAACTCTTCATTTAGAGTGACCAGTTTCTGTCTAATGCAGTCTCGAGGACTCTATACCTTTTAACATTGTGTGTTAGAATGTATGTGGTGATCTTTATTTTGCTATCAATTGCACATCCAGTTATAAAAGTACATTAAAAAAAATCGATACTCTTCAAGGTGAAAAATAGTTTGGGTTTCAGTGAGAATTATGTGTTCTCCAACTGGGGAGAGGCAAGGCAGCTTTTCACCTGTAAAGTAATACTCAAAATTGCCACGTTAATAGATGATTGATCATCAAAAGTGATTTACCAGCGTGAATTTTTCCCATCATTTCATTGTGTGAAGTCAAGCTGATCTTTTTGCTATTTTCTATTTAACAACTTGTTATCAACCTAAAGAGTTTTAGAGCCAGCATTTGCTTGCCATGCTGGAAGGAAAAAACATTAGGGTTTTTTTGTAAATTAAAAAAATTTACAATTACAATGGAATCTTTGGAGATTAAAAATTCGCATATTTCTTTTGTTTTCTTCTATATAATAGGTATGAAAGAAACATTAATAAAAGACTTAAAGGTGGGGCTTTTCCTTCTAGAAACCGAGAAAGCTTGACTTAACTGTTTTTCAGATCCTAGTGCTTTCAAGAAAAATATTATTTATTAAAAAATACTTATTAGTTTCTTTAGTATCCTAAGCCTCCACGCTTTGAACTTCTTGCCAATTGGTGGATTTTTCTTTCATGACATAGAACAGGCCTTAACTGACATTGCGATAATAGCTTAAAAATTAAAATTCTGAGATATGGCACTTTGAAAATCATTTTGATAGTCTCTGTATTTGAATGGCATGGTAACATTACCATGAATTAAGAAATACAGCATGTTTGTTAAGCTATAACATTTGAAAATGTGTAATTGTACAGAATTACTGTTTGATGTATATATAATGTTTGAATACTTCAGAAGTCTGGTTCCTAGTGGATTAAACGCATGACTACAAAGTTGGATGAAGAAATACTTTTTTGCACTTCTCTCCACAAAGTTTGATATAGCTGACAGCTGTTAGCTGATTATGGCAATGACTAGGAATATTTTAGTAGTTCTAGTATTTCACTACATAATTTTAACCTATGCTTTAGCTTCTGGTTTTGAGGTGCTTAGATTTATTATTCTCTTAATAATTCAGTTAATTCTGGATGAAACCACTAGTAAAAGCCTACATTGACTTTTTTTTTTCCCCTGAACTTTAAAAACTGAAAATTTCTGAGTTCGTTTTTGTTTCTCTTTTACTGGTATAACAGGACTGAATATCACAGAGAAAGATAAAATTGCACATATCTTTAAATTGAATGAGAAATGAGGTGGTAAATTAAATGTCACGGAGTCATAGGATGACTCTTTGATAGCTGTGCATAATTTTGTTTATGGACTCTTGTCATATTTACACTGATGACTAAAGCAGTTTAGATGAAAAAATATGAAAGAATTTTTTTGTCAGCGTTGATGAGAAAAGAGAACCCAGATTACATTTTTCCCTTCTTCAACTCCATCTCCAAATTTTTGCTTACAAAAAACAAAACGAAAAGGAAAAAGCCTGTCTTTGCAGCATGGTTTGGAAGGAAAAGTGCTGACTATAAATGATTCTGCTTGTGTATCCACCACTTCCTTTAGAAACTGAGTGAATGTTTTATTGTAACAACCCTCAAAACCATGGCGATAGGGAGAGTAGGCAAGAATGTTGACAAAAGTGTGATTATTAGGGAATGGAGCTTGAAGTAGTCCAACTTGATTGACAGAGCCTACGTTGGATTAGCTAGATGGCCAAGTAAGAAAACACCGTCTTGGGAAACTGAAAGGTTTCATCACGGTATTGTCAAAGGATCGAGAGATCCCGTTTCTAGTTGCTTTTCAGAATCGGTGTTCTGAACCAGACTCGTTCGACTGTCAGTGTAGGTAAGGCCGTACAGACTCGTTTAATACAGCTGCAGTAACTAATTTACCACGGTATTTATAGCTTAGCCATTGAATGTATGGAACCCTCATGGGATTATTATATTAGAATACTGTATATTCCGTTTTCATTCGGGTCTTGTCTATGTTATGCGACTTCAGCTAAAATGTCCCCTTTTGCCACCGGTGGCAGTCGCAGCGGCATACTGGTACAGCCCGGGTTCCTCTGCCTCAGCCAGCACTTCGACTGTCTCTCAACCAGCTGTTAACTGGTTTATGCTGTAGACTATTAAAATACTGGTGGTCATAATTTGTACTGATATTTTCACTCTTGCAAGAACTCGAGCAGCTATGTGATGTTTTAGCAATTCCAGCTGCAGATACAGCCGCCTAATCGTTTTAAAACATCTGGCTGAAAAAAAGCTAATGGAACATTTATTGAAATGACTTTAAAAGTAGCTTTGTAAATATTCCATTTAGTTAATCTAAAGTTAGAATGCATTTTAAATTATTGTAATCCTCTTAAAATTCTTAAATATTACTTTCAGGCTCTTGACATAACATAAATAATTTTCATATGTGTAGACTTAATTTTATACTGATTTTAAGTAATAATGTATACATAAATGTGCCATAGATTTTGTGTGTTCACAGTCTTTGAAAGATAGGGTTTTTTAGTAAATTGTAAATAATACTGTATAAGTTCTAGAACAAAATACATGTTAACCTTTTTTCACTACCTTGTACTAGTTATATTGAAAGGGTTATTTTACAGCCTACTATAGGAACTTGGAATGCACACAAGGGCCCTCGCTTAAGTGCACACTTAACGGTAGAAATGAATTCTGTCACGAGGTCCTCGCTTCTGGTCATAGCATGCTCATTTTATGTACTATTATTTGTTTTGCCTTCAGTTATTGCTTGCTGATCTTTCAGGCAGGACGTCGTTTTCCCAGATAGTTGTGACATGAAGCCTTTAGGAAAAAAAAAATCCTTAAATTGTCCGTAATTTTGAAAGTTGCATTATTAAACACCTAGACCAACATCAAAGTTGCCTAGTGCGCCTTTTGGAACAAAGTCAGTAGGATTCAAGGTGAATATCTAGTTTGCTCCTGTACTTTTGTAGAAGAGAACTTCGACATGCTTTGTGTACTCTGATGAACAAGGAAACATACGCGCTTAGAGAGTAAAACTCCAGTAATTTTGGCAGTCTGAAAGCACCCTCGTTCACAGCGTAACCATGTATCCCTAGACAAAAGAGATTTTTATCTAAATCTCCAAACTTAACTATGTCTGTGTTTTAGTTTTTGTAAAGCATATTGTTTAGCTTGAGTATTTAGATAAATGTAGTTACGTTTCACATTCTTAAACTAATTTTATTCTATATTTAATATATTAATAGCTTAGGTGTAAAATCATTTGTATATAGTAAAGGCATAATGCAATTAGTGAAGTAGGAAAAGTTGAACAGGAGCGTAAAGCTACTGGTGGCCTGAAAAAATAAGGCTTGGCCCATATTTTAGAACTCATGGCGTTTTATTCATACGTTCTTGTTTTATATTGGGGAGGGGATAGCTAGAATGTGTTATGAAATTTTTGGAAAACTTTCCTAGCATTAGTCCTGAAGTTGGCCTTGAAATGCTGTCATGGTCAGCTTCCTAGAATTCACTTGTTTGTAGAGTATATATTTTGATTGTCAGTAAAGATAACGACTTTGTATTTTTTCTGCACTTAATTTGTGTAATTAATCCACACAACAGAGTTTTCTATGACATGGTGAAGTCGGCAAAAGACGTAATTACACCTACCTGTTAATCTGTGCTTGTGAGATTTCAGTAATTTTATTTAAGCGGTCACTAGTAAGCAGCAGAAAGCTGCAAATTTCAGTTTTCTTTTTGCTTTGTAGTGTGAGTACTGGTTTTCATTACAGAAAGCTTGTAGAATTTTCTATTGGTTGCATATTTCTGTTTCAAAAAGCCATCAATTCTTTAGCTTTTGTGAAAGCAGTTATTGCTTACAAATTGCACGACAAGTTTGTAGTGTGTCTCCATTACTTAGAAAATTATTTTTTTTCAGGGTTAGTGGTTCAGTTGGAAAATGCTTGAAAAATGAGTTTTAAGCACTTCATCAAGCACAGCAAACAAAGGGTATAAAATTTTGCTATTTGAAAATCGATTAAATGTAACAATATCAATTGAATTTTTTTTCTTCAAATATAGATACCTCACTTAAAGGAAAGCACAGCTGTACTGTAACTACATCTAGGAAATAATAAAAAGTTGGTCTACAATATTTTGTTGCCGTTACGTTGCTTTCTGTGATTGACAAAATCTGTTTTTGTGTTTTCATACTCACTCTCAAAAGTATGTATTGATGTTGACATGCCAGTATAATTATCTTACATTACAGAAAGTAGCTGCAAAACGACAGAGTCTGTGTTAGCTCAAGGCAACAGGTTGAATGATTATTCTGAAAGCGTAGTAAAAGCCTGTGAAAAATGATCAGTGCGCTCAACAATTTTTAATACTTTGCCAATGATGTACAGTCTTCTTGTTAAGAGTTGCTGTGGTTGCATTACATGACACACAAAACTGTCCTCTACCTCACGTGAGATTTAACAGATATTTTATATGGTTTTAGTAAACAAGATGCATCTATCTGGTCACTTAGTTTACAAATTTTGAATTATATTTATTGAAACATGACATACTGTGCTCTTAGCTTATACCTCAATTGTATTTTGTGCTGTTATCCATTTTCATGCCCTGTAAATACCTGTATAGATGGTGGATTCAAAAACAAATAAAAACTGTAATGTCAGAGCACTTGCTTTTGTAATATTTTTGACTACTGACTTCTGAACGTGACTTTTTGGATGGTATTTAACAACGGTGCTTTTCTAAGGAGGACAGAGTCCTGGCTTTGATTACAGTGAATTGAAACCTGGTTACACTGAAACCTGTTAGGACAACTCTAAAGGGCATTTTTAGCAAATTCTGCAAGCTCAGTAGCCCTCCTGAGCTCACCATGAGTCCATTTTCTGAATGGCTCGGTGAAGACAGCAACACTAAGATTTCTATGTACCTTGGCATAAATTTGATATTTATATGTGTAAATACAAACACTCGTGCATTTGATATGTTCTCTGGTGCACAGCTTTTGTTGCTACCTGACTACCTGAGCAACGTTTGAGTTGTTTGCACCTCTCCTTAACAGCTTAGCAATGAACAAAAGTCACACATCACTGCATAAAATGCTGAGATTTATAAAAAGTTAAAATCGGGAATGAGGCTTATACTTTATTTGCTGATGGAAAATACGCCCTACAGTGACTCAGGGGTTCTGAGTTTTTGTAAGTCACGTGATAAAGTTGCTTAATATTTTTGTCTACCATTGGGGAGCTTAAATAGCAGAAAATTCAGAAGAGAGAGGAAGGAGGTGAGAAGCAAAGAGGGAGCTGCTCCTCTAAGCTGAAGTTTGTCATTTCGAAAAATCTAGATTGCAGTAAGAAAATACAACTTCTACTACAAATAATACTTTGGAGATTTCTAGGTTATTTTTATTCATACTAAGGGTTTGGGGGTTTTTGACAGATAAGCGTGGTTACATAGACACACACATTTCCTTCCCCTCAAATCAGAACAAAAATGCTTGGTCCTTGTTTTAAGGTACCGCTCTCGCATACAGGAAATCCTGGTTATGTTTCAGATTATTGCAAACCCTTAATGCTCCCGTGTGCTTGCTTGTGCGTTACAGCTGAAGAGAGAAATGAGCGGTGTGAACCAGGATGAAGATGAAATTGGTAATATTCTATGAGCTCAGCCTTTAGTATGGAAGAAAATTAACAACTAGCTATACCACTTAAACCTGTTTCTTTCTGCATCCCATGTTGTATTTTTATACTACCGCATTTCCAAGCAAGGGAGAAGCTATTGGGCTGAAAACCCTGCAAAGAAAATGTTCAAGGTGAGTCATTTGTATGAGAAAAAGTCGTGGAGTGTGGATAACTTGTGTATGACTCATGGCAAGGTGTGTCATTTGTTGGAGAAAACAATGCTGATCAAGGAGAAACTGCTTGAGCGACAGGGTAAAAAGATTGATTTTTAAGGCGTTCACACTGTTGCTGAGACAAATGCATGTGTAGCACTCACTTTAAAATTGGCAGATTTTAAGAATATTGCCCTAAGTGTTTGAGTTTATTTAGCATACTGCTGGGAAGTCGTTCTTTGTTTCGTACTTTATTGATCTCGTGAATCATTGTTCACTTGTAGCACACCAACTTACATTCGCTTAAACATCGGTGGTGCTATTTACAACAGTGACAAAATAATAAATGTTTCCTGTCCCCATCGACATTAATGAAATAATTCAAACTGTGCCCTCTGGGCACCGGACCGAGTACTGTTAATAGTACGATTTACTGAAGTGTAAAATTTACTACTTGCCTGCTGAGCTACTGCACACTCTTTGACAAATGCGTTTGTGAAGGAAGATGTGGCGGTGTAAGACTGTTTTGTGGTTAAGGAAACCGTAACTGAAGGAGACTGAATTGCAGTAGGATGTGGCCACAGCCTGTGAATTCGTATCTTGCGGCATTTTAAAAAGTTGGGGTTTGTGCATTAGGATGCACCTGCACTGTCACCATGTAAAATACTTCTGATCTCAGCCTTGGGATGAAACGGGATATGAAGGTGTTGCAAAATTTTGTGGTATTTTGAAGAAAAATGAAATACTTTGAATTATGTTAGAAATGTGTTAGTGTGATTTAGAGAATATGCGTGGATTTTAACCTCCAAAGAATTGTGTGGCAACAGTATCCTTAGATGATACTGGCTGGGATCGGTCATCCCAAAGTGGTTAAATATCCTTATACCTGGTATTAATCAAAAAGCTGTGTGCTTTTATACTTGATACAAACGGAGCAGATCTTCAACTTTATAAAGTTAGATGGAGGAAACGCTAGACTGCAAAAACGCAAACTGAGTCAGCGGAGGGGAGCGGCAGGAACGCGTTCGTTTGTCAGCTCGTCTCCTTCCAAATGCAGGAGGTGACGTGCGAATCCTTCCAACACAATTGCATGGTCCAAGAAGTGGAACGCTGCTAGTTTCACTCGGGAGACATCAAGTTTATCTCCTGAATAATAAATAAGCAGGAAT